TAATCTTTGTTTAAATAAATCAAATATATTCTTATAGCTATAGATAATATATTTGTAAAATTATAAAATTATTTGTTGGATTTAATTTTTTATAAATAGCAATTATTTTTTAGAGGTTTGGAATTTGTTCAGGTTTGGCCAACAAGTATAAATACATATAGAACCACAAAATTAGTTTAATATATATTTAATAACACTACTCATAAAGTAGCATATAGATATTTTAGAATAGTAGCAAATAAATAAAAGTAGCTATCCAAATATTGCAAAATTTACTAGAAATTGTCTTTTAATATCTGCTATAAGTATTTCAAGTGAGTAGATATTTAGTATTAGTAGTAATATGTTAACTAACAAGCAAAATTGGTTAAATAAAAAATAGTACAAATAGCAATATGCTTAAAATTATAGTGAAAAGAACTAGCAAATTAAATATATATTGTATCTGGATTAAATTTTTTATTCTTAAGCTTTTATATCTTAATTAAATAAGTTATTAATTTCTTTTTTTTTTTTGATAGAAATCTTAGATGACTAATAATATAAACATAGTAATTAGATAAGTATTTATTATTTTCATAATTGGTTTTTTTTAAATATTTATTAATTTTTATATATTTTTTATATTATTTTGTTATTGTTTAACAGCTTATATATTGTCTAATTGATTTATTCTTAATAATTTTATATAAAACCACTAAATATTAAGTATTTTTTTTGTTTGTATTTTTGCTCTTTTATAAACACTTTATTAATATGTTATTTATTTTTAAAATTTGTTTATTTTATTTTACACATATGCTTGTTATTAGTTTTTATGAATTGTAAAAAAAAAAAATTTAAATAAATTGTTTTGATATTTTTATATAAGCCCAAAATCAAATTTATTAAAGAAACCTTTTGTCTGTAATTTGAATCTTTCATATCTAGAAGTTTTAATAATTAATACTCTGTACAGATTAATTAAAATTCTATATATATATAGTATAAATTAATTAAAAAATTTGTAAATATTATATAAATATTAATAAAATTAATATCAATATATATTAACTAATAAAATTTGTAAAAATTCTATATATAAATTACATAATACTACTAATATATACCAAACTAATAGATTATAGATATACTGCATATTAAATACTAAATATACATCTTTTTAATTAGTATACAGATAACAAGCTATATTATTTGGCAACTCTATTATTTCTATAAAATTAGAAGTATTAAATAAAAAAATAGTACCTAAATTTTATTTATCATAAATCAATACTACTTCCTATATCTTACACCTTCTAGAAATTACAAAAGCAAAATTAATTATACTTATAGCTACTCTTGTAGCTTTGCTAATCAACAACACTCTGACTCTAATATTTGCTTACCACTTAAACAAGCCTCTCTTAAATACAATACTTGGTTCACCATGTAGATCAAATATAGTACACTTATTAACTATATTTTAACTATCCAAATCTAGGTAAGTCTTGACCACTCTAGTAGGTTTAGGTCATGGATAAATCAGTTTGAGCTTTTATTCTTGCATGTAATTTATATTTATTTGTTTATATACAAATTAAGTCTTTATATAGTTTTCATGTAATTACTTATATAAATTACTCAATAAAGATATGAGCAAAACTTCACAACACAAAAAAAATAAATAAATAAAAAAATAGTACTAGAAGATAGTATATTACAATAAGTATTCAAGTTAATAAAAGAATTACCTTATTAATACAGTAATATTCAAAAGAATATTAATAGATCCAAAAAAAACAAAAGTTCAATTTGATTTCAAAATATTAGCTAGAAGAATTCAAAATCAAAGATAAAATTTTGAATGTAAATAAAAAAACATAGAAGTTTTATAATCTGTGAAATTTGAAGATAAATGAATTGAACCCTTTATAATCAAAAACAAGTTAAATAATAGAACTTATAAATTATGCATGATATAAGGAAAAATATTAAAAAAGTACTATAATAGTGATCATCTTACCAAATATCATGAAAAACAAAATTGGCAACTCATTATTATTGAAAACTAGAATTTTTGGAGAAAATTCTTAAAAGAGATGGAAAACACAAGCGAATTTTTACAAATATTTAAGTTTTATTTTTATCCTACAACAAATGTATATAATTATTCCTCATCTCTAATAATCGTACCCCTTAACACAGGTCAGGAACAAATAAAAATTTCTTATATTTGTTAATGATAACAACGGCATAAGATCAAGTTATCGTCATTAGAACAAAAATTTTACTGTAGCAATTATCTTCCGATCTGTACCATAAAAATGAGCAGAACGAAATTTTACTTATACGTAGGACTTTTTTTATTTTTTTTGCGTCAAAATTAGAAATTCTAAACCCTAATTTGACTTGAAGTAAAATTCACGAATAATTTCATAGCAGAACATGTTAAGTAAACTCATCGAAGAAGACACTTAAAAACACCCTAAAAAGACGACTTAAAAGCAACCAACCAGAAATCTTAACGTTCTTGCAGGATTAATGCATTTGAAGAGACCACCTTTTAGTACCAAATTCGGAAATAGAAAAGAAAATGACAAAATAGGAAATTCTTTATGCAACAAATATAACTGTATTATATGGTCGATCAATTAATATTCTTTGTGCAAACTAATAAATATTCGATCACTGTTCGATGGTTATTAATTAGAAATAACATTTGGGAAATCTTATTTGCTAAAAAAGTGCACCTAATACAGTAATATTGCATGAAATATCAAATATATAGGATGACCTTTTTTTCAAAAAAAAAAAAGAAATTAACTAAGTTATTCCTTTTTATTCATTTATATTCACTCATTTATTTATATGAATAGATAATCAGGCATAATGTTTATATCATTTATATCCGTAAATTTCATCTCATTCATATACATTATACTCATCAATATAACACTTTTATTTATAACACCTGCTAATGCTGGAACTGAATTCAATTGTCCAAGCAATGCAAATACTGCTTCAGATACCGAATATATCGTAATTCTCCAAACAAATTCTCAGGACGAAGCAAATTCAATATTCGATATTATCGGTCAATGTCTTGGAATATCTGTTGCATCACTCGATCCGTATGAAGATATGGCAAAAGAATGTGCTAATCCTGCAAATCTTAATATACCTTCGGAAATTCCTAGTACAACAAGTTCTAACAAATCTTTTAGAAATCTTAGTATTCCTGGTGGTTTTTACGCATTTAGTGGATATTATAGTTCAGATTTTGTCAATGCATTATCGGATTGGGATGCTGTTTATCAAGTTAATCCAGCTGTAGTCATGAATGCTAGTAGTCCAATCAATTTTAATTTGCAGCGAAGAGCAACTCAAGATAGTCCTGTTTGGGTAAGATTATTTTGTTATTTTTTTTTATTTTATTTTAATTTAGTTTGGTTTAAGATAGATACTTTATATCTTTAGAATCTTGATAGAATTGATCAAAAAAACCGTCCTTTGAATAATGAATATATTTATCCAGATTGTGCAGGTGATGATATAGTAATTTATATAGTTGATACGTAGGTATTTCATTTTTATATCATTAACTCTTTTTTCCTCAAAGTAAATATACTAATTGGAATTAAAATATTTAGTGGCATTGACATTACACACCCAGAATTTGAAGGTAGAGCAGAATATGGAAAATCTGTATGTAGTGGCTGTCCACCATGCCCTTATGATGATCATGGGTAAATACATAATTATATGAATTTTTGCATTTTTTTTTCTTTCTTTTTTTCTTTATTCCTTTCTTTTTTATATAAATATACATCCTTTAATTGCTTCCTACTTTGATAAAAAGGCATGGAACACATGTTGCAGGAATTGTATGTATTTTAACATTATTATTATTATTATTATTATTACACGTATTATTATTAGTATTATTATTAGTATTTTATTTCCAATTTTTAACTATTAATAATAATTTATTACATATATAAATTGAATAATAGGCTGGATCACATACATATGGCGTTGCCAAGAAATCTACTCTCATTGCAGTTAAAGTGTTAAATATGGATGGATCCGGCACTGATTCAGATATAATTACAGGTCTTCAATTCGTATACGAAGATTATCAAAAAAGAAAGAAATCATCAATTGTGAAGTAAGTTTCTTAGGATTAAATCTACTTTTAAGCGATTAAAATTTTCTAATTTTTTTTTTTTTTTAAGCATGTCACTTGGAGGTGGTAAATCTGATGCACTAAATTTGGCAGTACAAGCCATTACTGGTTCTGGAATTCATGTAGTCGTGGCTGCAGGAAATAGTAAAGGCGATGCATGCAATTCTTCACCTTCTTCAGCCCCTTCAGCTATTGCTGTGGGTGCTGTTCAAAACACCAGCGATGATGCACTTTCAAGTTATTCTAATTTTGGTTCTTGCGTTCCAATATATGCTCCAGGTCTGTAATTTTAAATCCTTATTAAAATTTTTTTTCATTTCACAAGAATTTTAATATATACTTGTTTACTATACTTAGGAGATAATGTGCTATCGACATATGTTGAAAATATATTAGATTCCACTACTGCAACTCTATCAGGAACTAGTATGGCTTCTCCGCATGTGGCTGGCGCTATTGCTTTATTTCTATGTGATTATGGAAAAGATATATCACCTTCTGATATGCTTACCCGTTTGAATTCTACTTGTAGTAAAAATCTTATTGGGAATCTTGCTCCTAGTGGCAATTATAGTTGTCTTTTGAAGACTCCACCTACTGATGGATAGTTTATATATAGAATAAATAGAGCTTCTATTCTGATTTTTTTAGTTATCGCATTTTCATATATATATATATATACTGTATAGTAATCATTTTTCTAATTATCACGTTTTTTTCGATAGTTCTAGAATTTCCACTTATTTACTCCTTTAATCTAATTTATTGTACCGTTCTTCTATGAACATGCATACATATTAAGTACTCAATAGAGTGATTCACAATTAATATTCAGTTTTAATTAAATTAGGTTTGAAATAAATGATTCACAATTAATATTCAGTTTTAATTAAATTAGGTTTGAAATAAATGATTAATAAATTCTATTTTTTATATAACTTATATCATTTTTTCTGATTTTTGAAATTCATGAAACTTTTTAAACTCCCAATTGTTCTCGAAATAAGTTAATCGAAAAGCATAGATACGATTAGTCATGTGATTGGAAGAATGCCGGCACGCCAAAGGTGCCGGAAATAAATTCAA